GGTTTGTGGGGTACAGCGTCGCGGCGCTGTACCCAGAAATGGTGGAGAAGGTGGTGATATGTTGCTCAGGGGTTTGTGTGGAAGAGAAAGATTTCAGGGATGGGTTGTTGAGAGTCTCTGATTTGGAGGAGGCCACGAAGATTCTGGTGCCGCAGAAGCCAGAGAAGCTCAAAGAGTTGGTGGCTTACTCATTTTTCCGGCCGCCGCCCCTGCGGCTGATGCTTACTTGTCTTCTCAATGATTTCATTGAGGTAAGAGCTTCATTTGAAATTCTTCCCTTCCATTTTTGCTTCCTTCATGTTGGTTCTTATTTATTATTATTATTTTTTGTTTGTTTCAACAAATATAAGGCGTGGGGTAGAACTAATCTTTTGAGAGGCAATAGATAGATAGATTAATAAAAATAAATTTGACCCTAGTCGGAGCTTTGCTCTTCTGTTCCAAGAGAGTCTGTGCCCTCCTCAAAATCCGAACCTCAAAATCCGAATCCAAAGGAGACATCAAAAATTTTTAATAGTAAGTTCAGCTCTCCTGCTCCAAGAGGGTCTATGCCCTCCTCAAAATCCGAACTTAATCCGCTAGAGTGTCTTGAGCTAGCTTCAAACTATAAACTACATTCTAAATTGAAACTACATTTTATACTACATTCTAATTTTTTTAAGCTATAAACTCATAACTTGAAGTAGTTCGAAGTGCAAGTAAAAAACTCAAATTTATTTATTATTATTATTATTATTATTATTATTTTTTTGGCCTTCTAACTAGTTTATGCATGGGCTCTGTGCCAGTCAATGTGTTTGGACTATATTGAAGAAAAGAGAGAGCTAATTCGAGCCATTCCCAAGGAGAGAAAGCTTTCAGACCTTCCCAAGATACATCAGGTGGATTGCTATTCATCATTCTCTACTATTTACAAGTTCAAGACAACTAATCCATCTAAATTTCAAACAAACCATTAGCTTCTTGCCTTCAATAGCATTCCATCCTATTATAATTTTGATCTTCATTAATGATTATAAGTTTGAACAATTTAGATTCAAATCAGTTAAAATTATATATATGTGAAATTGTAGACACCACGATCCATTATTCTACCGAAATAAAGAAGAGAGAGATGGATAGAATAATACCTAATTTTGTTGATGATGTCTTAGCAAGTTCTAAAGATCCACGAGTCAGAATGAACTTAACCAAAGTCTTTTCCCAACTTTGTTGCAGCGGACGATGATACTCTGGGGAGAACATGATCAAGTATTCCCATTAGAATTGGGTCATAGATTGAAACAGTGAGTAGTCCTGCACTTTAAAGTTAAAATAGAGCAAATAATATTTTTCTCATTCAGAGCTAACGAAAAACATGTGGGAAACTAGGCATTTGGGGGACAATGCTACACTTGTAATTATCAAGAACGCAGGCCACGCCTTCACTGCAGAGGAGCCAAAGGAGTTTTACAACCATTTGAAGTCATTCCTAGTTGATTCATAGCCTCCCTCTCCCCATCTCAACATTCGGGCAGCACAAATTCACAAATGTCTTCATCAAGAAAAAGAAACTGAAACAAAGTCAACCATAATACTACTTTCCTACTTGAAAGAAAAAACCATGATACTACTTTCAGCTCCCTGATTTTTTTTCTAAAGTTGGAAGTTATTCAAAGTAACTGTTTTCCCCGAATCTAATGTTGAAAATACATTAAATGATTAAATTTCTCGTACCTTGAGACCCAACTCAGGGAGTTCTAGAGTCAAAATTCTATTGAGACATTTTTAATTCCCAAAATGTCCCTGTAACTTGTCAGATTCCAGATGTCTTGCTACAAAATCAAGTTGAAACTATTTCTTTATTGCTTACTCTACTATATCAGTACTCTCTGTACCATAGAGCATTTAATAATCTGAAATAGGAAATATTGACCATCATCACCCACCCTTACAATAAAAAGATGATAACATATACCGATAATAAAGCATGATTTTCAACAGCGTTGAATCAGTCAATCAAGATGATATAAGTTTGCATTCTCAAACTAAACAGATTGACTTAACTTTAAAAGGTAATGGTTACAATGTGATCACAGATTACTGTTCTCGTACACTAAATAAGCAATAAAATGGCACAGCTACACCTCCTAGAACCATGTCAACAATAATTAGCTCTGCGAAATACACTGCTAGTAAATAATTGTTTCAAGTACTTAAGAAAGATATCCTTCAACTAATCAGAGAAGCTCCAACATCTTGCCTCTGCTCAAGGTTCGTCAACTTTAGATTGCTCACCTGCAGTAATTAGATAGATACAAGGTTAGCTTAGACAGGTATGGCAAATTTACAAACGCTATGAAATAAACCATCCCTGCACGTTGCTACAAGTTTCATCTCGAATATGCATGAACTAGGACAGAGAAAATTAGTATCATACGTTATTGGAAAGACTAAGCACAAGCGCATAGAGTCAAGGAAGTTCTTGCCCAAGCTGACAGAAGAAGTTCCACCGTCTGAATTATAGTAATCTCGAAAAGTTTCTTTATTAGCTCCCTAAAGTTCTATTAAGATTAGACTTATACTATATCAAAATCAAATACATTTTGGGTACTAGCTGAAAATCACGAAGCTGACATCAGCTCACAAAAATCATTCTTGCAAACAGTTCTCAAAAAATGAGCTACAACAAACCCAAAGTTTTTAGTAGAGGAGGATTTGGTCGCTATGCTTGGGAGTTGGGACCTATGACCTGACATCAAAGGCTATCTACTTACAGCACAGCAGCCTTCCACTATTGAGCCAACCTATGGTGATTTTTTTACAAAGTTACATCTAGAGTTGGAAGATCTGAAGATAAATATATCTTTATAGTGCGTAGGCTGGAAACCATCCAAACACGAATTCCACTTAAAAACCATTAAAATACCCAATCATCAATGTAGAACAAAGGAAGCTAGATTGGAGGTAAGGATAGGAGGAAACAGGAAAACAAAGATTCATTGAATTTTACCTCCCTCGTCTGGGAGATCTGAGGTCCATAACGTGAGATTATCCCTCAGCAGTTGCATGATGAGGGTACTGTCCTTGTAGGACTCTTCATTGAGGCCATCAAGCTCAGCTATGGCATCATCGAAAGCTTGTTTAGCAAGGTGGCACGCCCTGTCAAGCAATAATAATGTTAGACATGGTAAGATGACAGCATATTGTGGCAAAACAATTAATAATAGATTCATGTTGTGATTTGTGAAATGAAATATAAAAACAATGCATTAGTAAAAAGTACAAAGATGAGGATAGGTTAAGAGATAAAACCAACCTCTCTGGGGAATTTAATATCTCATAGTAGAAAACAGAATAGTTAAGCGCCAAGCCAAGTCTGATAGGATGTGTTGGAGGCAAATCAGAGGTTGCAATGCTTGAGGCAGACTACATCAGAAAACAAAACTTCCAAGTTCAAAATCTGACATTAGACTACTGGATATTTGAAGAGAAAAAAACAGGGAGACGTATGGAAGTCAAAATGAAATATAGAAGTTTCATCAAACCAAAAAGAATTAAACTTACCTCATAGGCCTTCATCGACTGTTCTCCAGCTTCTTCACGTTCCTGGCCAGATTTGAACTCCGCCAAGTATCGGTTATAATCCCCTTTCCTGCATTTGGAGAATACGTAAAAGAAATTACTCAGAAATTGTTCACAAAAGCACACCTGAAACACATGCATACTTTACCAGGATGGGGACATAAAGCATACTGTATATACTGCAAACCCATGAAACTTGAAGGATGCGTAGTATCTTACTAAAAAGCAGATCAAGCCATCCTCTTCATTTAATAAATGAGATAAATATCGTAGAAGCAACTCAATTAAATCAATATATACAAAAATTTGAATAAAACTTAGAACATAAGATTAATTAAATTACTGATTTTATGTTCAACTCGTTAGTTTAAGGGGGGAAAAACAGAAAGGTAGAAGATGATAATCCTCACATCTTATAGTAAAAAACATTAGATTCTCCAGAGGATGACGATGGAATAAGATGCTTATCGACAACTGATAAGATGTCATGGCAAATTTTTGACAGTTCGTCTTCAACCCTCTGTCTGTACTCCTTTACCCTCTTCACATTAATCTCGTTCCTCTTTCCTTCCTCCTTCTGTTCAATCGAGGATAAAATACGCCATGAGGCTCTTCTTGCCCCAATAACGTTCTTATATCCCACGGAGACCAGGTTTCTCTCCTCCACAGTAAGTTCTACGTCCAACTTTGCGACGCTCTTCATCATTTCTACCATTTCTGAAACAAAAACAGATGAAATCATGTGCCGACCATCATCGGATGTCTCATATCATGTTCTACAAAGATGCAGCCGATTAACAGCGCATTCCTCAATTAAACTATGATACTCCAAAATCTTTATAAAGTACAATTCTAACACTAATCGCGTTCTCAGCATGAGGAACATAAAACAAAGATTGTAAGTCCATCGGTAAGTTCCAAAGGATAAAGAAAACCCTAATCCTACAAACTGTCCGGCTAACAATACCGCACTACGAATCCATACAAAAAGGAGATTTAAACTTGTACAAGTTCTACAAAAAGCGGGAGAAAAATGGTTAAGTATCGCACCATCGTATCTCTCTGCTTGTTCTGCAAGTCTGGCCAAGTACACGAGCTGCTCCCTCTCCTTCTCCATCGCCGGCGGTGTCTCCGATAACTGCCTCCGACAAAAGGCCTTCTTTTCTGCTTGGCTTTGGTTCTTTCGTCCTATATAACCGCTTCCTGAAATATGCTGTGCTTCGTAGGGTGACCGTCGGATGGAGTTTAGTGGAGAATTTGGGGTGTTATGGACGGCAACGATTGGGTTTTGGATGGGCTCTTTGATTCTCGTGTAGGAACAATATAGGCCGTTGGATGGTGGCACCGTTGAATCAGCCACGCGATGGGAAACACAAATATGGAAATGAGACCAAAAGTGAAGGCATTGGTGACGGTCAATGTGGGGGGTTGTGACGTCAACTGGGTCGGTGGGAAGAAAAAGTCTTTACTTCAAACGAGAATAAATATTTGGTTAAATTACAATTATACCCTTAAATTTTTTAGTTTCATAAATATTTACCAAACGATTATATTATTGAAAATTGGGAACTATCAAAGAAAAAAAAAAGTTATAACGTTATCGAAGGGACATAGGAGGTCAAAGTTATAACGTTATTGAAGGGACATAGGAGGTCAAATCCTCCGTTAAGGATAGATACTTTTTTTAAGTACAACAAGTAGGGATAGACAGACAATAAGAATGGAGGGATTCCAACTTAGTTTGGTTAGTTAAGCATGTGTCTATTAATAGTCTGAATTTTATATTTATTTGTGTTTAAAAAAAACTTAAACATTAGTACAATATTCAATGTTGTGTTTTGTTGCTGAATGGTTTCATGTTTTCGAATATTTGTTTGGTAATATATTTGAAAATTTAATCTCCATTTAGAAAAATTGTTCAATAAATTTAATAATATACTCATAAATGAGTGATACTACATATTTAGTTTAATTTAAAATAATATTAATTAAATTATTAAAAATGTTATAGATTGTGTGGAATTATTAATAAATTATATTCTATATATTTTAATTTAAAACTTTAAATAATATATTTATCACAGTTTTATATTTTTTTAACATAATTATGCAATTTAAAGTTTCATATACGAAATTTGACGACTAAAAACATCGTATTGTTGTTTTCATAATTTTCACTATTTGAATGACATAATTTGAAAACAACTTTTAAAAATAGAGCAGACATAAGCGATTGCAGCGAAGAATTGATCTGAAACGAAGCACTTCGTCTATGGGCATTGTAGAAAGAATAGAATATGACCCTAATCGTTCTTCTCGGATTGCTCCAGTACGATGGATCGAGGGGGTCCGCCAGAGGAAATGCAAGACGATAGAGGAGTTCGCTCCGCCGCGTAAGATCCTCGAACCTACCACGACCACCATCCGCGGCCTATTTTCGTTCTCTTCCCCGCYCGGGAAGGTGGATCAAAGAAAGGTAGCTTGCTTCTCTCCTGGACTGATGGCGGCTTATGTAGTGGTCGGCCTTCCTACCAGGATGCCCCCTTGGTCGAAGAGCCCCTTTACTTCCAGGAAAAAACTTCGAATTGGGAGGGCGATCCTCCCGGTGAACTGACCGTACCCCAAACCGACACAGGTGAACAAGTAGAGTATACTAGGGCGCTTGAGAGAACCATGTCGAAGGAACTCGGCAAAATGACCCCGTAACTTCGGGAGAAGGGGTGCTCTCCTATCTTTTGATTAGGAAAGCGGCACATACCAGGGGGTAGCGACTGTTTATTAAAAACACATACGATCACTATATCAATCCATAAACAACCTATCATTGTTTTCAAACTATGTGATGAAATGACTCTGCATGCAATCAATTCCATCGGCACTCTAAAAAAATAGGCTCGACTCGATTAAATGCGGATTTATTTGATTTTGACCCAAACATATTCGTCCTGATTTTACCTGCAATCGACCCAACACGAATTACATTCCTACTTTTAATAGTCACTTCTTCACCAAATGGAATAAGTTACTCGACAGTCGTTGATGCTCTTTGACCAAAACTTATGTTTCAACGAAAGATGATATTTTTTTTAGGTCCTCATACTCACTGTGCATAGCATTAAATAGATTTGGATATGCACCTTAATACCTAATTGTGAATATGAAAACAAAAAAAAAAAAAAACAATTAAATTGCATACCAAATATGCCTTAAAATATGATAACCAAAAAGTTAAAGTTCAATCTTACCATAATATTATTTTGGAAAAGTAATAAAAGATGAAATTACAAATTTAGTCCATATACATGTTCCGGTTCATTTTGGTCATTGTTTCTTAAAATGTTCACTTTAAATCATGTATTTTTAACTTGTGTTCATTTTATTCATATATTTTTAAAGAGGGATCATTTTCGATTATTCATTCTATTGTTAATATCATTTTTTAATCACAATTTCAACGAGACATTACGATTAATATATTTATTAAAATATAAACATTATTTTATACTCAGAGTTTCAATCATGTATAAAATTTGTATTCAAATTTTGTAAATTGAGACTAAAATGATAATTTTTCAAGGATGCAAAGATTAAAATGAATCATTTCAGAGTACCAAAAACTAAAATAAATTAAAGTTAAAATGATATTTTAAAATGAAACAAAAGCAAAATACCAACAAAAATAATATTTTTTATCAAAACGATCGCAGTTAAACGATAATTGGTATATATCCACGACCTAAAGGTTGCAAATTCGACGTCAGTACTAAAAAGACAAAAATAATATTTTAACCTAAATAAAAACAAACAAAGAAAAAAAAGGAAAAAGCGCGCCCACTGCCCGCAACGAAAACCCAGGTCAGGGTGCGCGGGAACATGCCGTGGACTGTGAAGGAAAGCACTTCTGGGGGTTTCTGAAGCATCTGAAGAAATCTCAGCTCATTTTTTTGCCGGAAGATGCAGTGAAGAAAATCACTCGCTCGAAAGATTTTTGCTCTGTCCCGTCGGCCGGTTTAGTTCGAGGTGAGCCATGGAATTAATTCAGTTTTATTACGAATGGTCTCATATTCAGTCAATAGAGCCCATGAGAATCAGTTTTCGTTCTTCCAAGCATTACCTTTCTTTTACAATTGTGATATTGGAAATCCACCGTTGTTCTGTCATCATTTCAGTTCTTGATTTTTGTGGCCTTTATGTCCCAAATAATATACCTGTCAACATGAAAAATCTCTTTTCCTCTGCTCCTCTGTGTCGATTTTATTTTCATTATGTACATTTATACTCGAATTGCTGCAGTATGGCAGGTGCAGGAGATTATCTTTCCCAAATTGACATTTCAAATGAGGTATGAGACTGTTCTCTTTGCTTTCTGGAATCGATTATCTCGCACGATTATACGGAAATTGAAGTTTTCTTCTTCGTGGTTTCACTATGGGCGGTTGATATTCCTGATTCCTAAGCCACATTTAATTAACAGGAAAAGGACAAGCTTGTAGCGGAAGCCATCCGCTATATCATTTTCAAAACTCATCAAAATTCAGGATGCCCGATCAAAAGGGAAGAGCTTACTCAGCTCGTAACAAAAAATTATCGGAATCGTGGATTGCCGGCTGTTGTGATAGAAGAGGCCAAAGAGAAGATGTCAAGCATTTTTGGTTACGAGTTGAGGGAACTTCAAAGAACCCGACCTTCATCTACTAGCCAAGGGCACTCTTCCCAGCAAAGTAAGAAATGATCGAACTTAGTATATTACTTCAATTATTGCGATCGAGATTTTCTTTGCTGCCTACAGTGTGATTTCACTAGAATACTGTTCGCCCAACTCGAATATGTATTCACATCATCTTACTGCAATTCTAATTACCATAATGTTTGTTATGATGACCTTTGCAAGTCATCACAGGTGTCCTTTGACAAACAGTTCAAGATAGTGGTTGGATCTTGTTTTGGGTCAAAGTTATACCGATAAAATTATCCAGAATGAGATATCCTTTTGCAACTCCATCATAGAAGAGTTGTGGGGCAGGCTAGTACATACAACCAATGATCTCGTGAGTGGAACAAAATGTTCTTACGAGTGATGTGTCGATGTGGGTGATCAGGACCTCTTACTTCTAAGCAATGATCTTGTTATTACTCCCATCCGTGGGTTGAGCACATGCTCTATATTAAGTGTCGTTCAATGCTCAGTTTTTTACGCATGCTACGCATCTCTATCCTAAGAACCAATTATCTAAAAGATCAATTTAATCAAATTTAATCTCCTCCTGGCAACTTTATACATCTAAGTTGCTTAAACTGTCATTACATTTCTTCAAAATAAATGCCTGACCTTTCTGATATACCATCCTCGCTATTCATTGCATTCAAATACAACAATTGGAACATGAGGGTTGACATTTTCGAGCATGGAAGTCATGGGTATGGATTGTAGAATAACCTGCGTCATTATCCACCTATCAATAAGGCTGCCAATCTGCAATCAGCCTGCAGCCTACTTACTACCTTTCCAACATTTAAAGTAGCCATCACAAATTTAAAGTTTCTGCAATTACCCGGTGCCCATGAAGTGACCTTATTATATTTCTTTGACGCCTCTAGAAAATTCACTACAGTATAGAAGTCTTTTCATCTAGAATTGCTGTAGCTTTTGCATTCATGGACCTAGGATCTTTTGTATGCTTCATGGCTAGCCACTAGTATTCTAATCTTTAGATCATTTCCATCTGGCATGGCTTGCTATTGTAGTGTAGCTTTTGTCTTTATGGACCTAGTATCTGGTCTATGCTTCGTAGCTAGCCATTAATATTCTAATTTTCAGATTGTTTCCATCTGGCATGGCTTGCTATAGCTATATTTCATTATTGGATCTCACCTTAACTCTTGTCTCTACACATTTCCTCAGACGTTGCAGATACAAAATCTTATGTTCTCATAAGCAAGCTTCCTGCTGATATCTATAGAAAATATGTCGAGGATGTAAATACAGCACACGTGACTGGTTTTACTTTTGTTGTAGTTAGTATTGTACATCTCGCCGGTGGTAAAATTCCAGAAGGTATGTTCTCTGGCGGTAATTTCTTAACCCAATGCATACTTAGTAGCTTTGAGAGAGATAGAAAGACAGCTTATACTTGAGATGAATTTCACTCATATACTTCCTTCATCTTGGAAATACTATTTTAGTAAAATAACTGGAAAGGTTGTTGCTTATCAGATAGTTTTGATATATTTATGTATCAAAATATTTCCAAGAGTTCCTTAGGGCAATATTCCATTTTTTGCTTTTCTATTTCATTATTTGCTTTATAATGGAACCTGGAAATACACTGCAGAAAGCCTTTGGCATCACTTGAGACGAATGGGGTTGTCTGAAAGTGATGAAAAGCATCCAGTCCTTGGAAACATCAAGCAAGCAGTAGAGTTGCTTGTTCAGAAAAGGTCAGTAGACTCAGTACCATATGGTTGGGACCTGCAATTGATTATTTAAAAGTAATTCGATGACTATAGAAGGTACTGGAAAAACTTGTTTGCAGCTTGTCATTTTACTCTGCCATGCTTTGTAGATATCTGCAGAAGGCCAAAATAAATGGTCCTGAAGGCAATATTACGTTTTACGAGCTTGCTGAAAGAGCTTTAGATGGGCCAGTTAGTGAAGAGATTAAAGAATATGTAGCACAGGTACGTGGCTCATAGATTGAAATTAAAGGTTTTTGAGTAGTTAAAATACATAGATCAACGTCAAATACAATATAATATATAATCTTTTAATTTCCTCATTTTAATTTATTCTTTATTTTTTCATCTAAACAAAAATCATAAACGAGCTTGAGATAAAAAGTCCCCCTAGTCTTATTACCAAGCCATTTTGGATTCTTGGCCAAAGTATAGACGAATTTGCTGCCTATGAGGAAATGTTTGGTATGCGGCATTGGGATTATGGGAATAGGAAGCATACAGGAATATGATGGTTGGAACCAGGAATGGTTGTTTTTGGTATATGAAATAAAATTAAAGGCTCTTATTGTGTAAGTAGTTCGTTTTCGACCAAGGGCCTTCTCATCCCTTCAGCCCACAGGATGTTCCTTTCCTTTCTGAATGTACAGCTCTCTCCTTCTCTTATATATATATATATATATAAATGAAATTTGAAAACTGTGATTTTAGTTTCAATTTATCTATTTTTATTTTAAATTTGGATCTTATGATTTTTATAAATTAATTGATTGTGTAAAGTTAAATTAATCTGTTTAATAAATTAATGCATAATAAATTTAAACATGAATACTTAAAGTTAAAAAAAAAAGAAATTTAGTAATTACTTTTCATATTAATTATTATTGGTGGGTTTAGGATGCCAATTCCCAATTGTAGCATGGGTTTTTGAACCTCATTTCCCGTCCCTTCATTACCACATGCCAAAAGGTTTAATTTTGCTTAGCTTCTTTGTGTAGTACAAATGTGCAGATGATATGGATGGTTGGATAGTAACTATGTTTATGCTAGTATGAATGAAGATAATTTTATTGTATAACATCTCATAAATCTGCTCATTTAATTTTATTATTTGTTTACTTTGAAAAAAAAAAATCTTAAAAGAACATGTGGAATAAAATTCCTATAATCTCATTGCCGAGTCATTTCAGATTGTCGGCCAAAAAGCAGGATTTCAGTCCATTAAAATTTCGTTTAGCGTATTTTCTCTAGTACATGATGTAGATGGTTGGATGGACGAATCAATGCTATTATGAATGATGGGCTAATTTTGCGTAATTTCTTAAGTAGCACAAAAGTGTACATAATTTGGATGGTTGGATGGACGAATCAATGTTATTATGACTGATGGAGGCCCCCTTCCCAAGGATTTGCAGTTCATGTGTCTAGACTATAGAGAATTTTCTAGTTTCTGCTGATTCTAGTCTGCTCTCAGCCCATCATTGCATGTTTCTAACAATTGTGCCTTGGTAGTATCAGACCATAGTTTCACACATTTGACGTAGTTTCTCCTATTCTTTCTAAGCTGTCTTCTGTTGCTTCCTACAGTGTCTTAAGCATATTATAATTTTGTGTCAAGTAGCATTACTTTATGTTTTTGCCAAGGCACAAACAATTATCATAGCAAACGATTCTATTAATCCTTGAGAAATGTCACACCATTAACTAAGTTAGTTGACTATATGCAAGCATTTTGGTCGAGACTGCTGATGATTGAGGTATGTAAGTTGCAAAATATGAGCTATATTCTGGTTGATTCTAATTAATAGATGTTGGGTTATTAATATTTATTCTTTTCATACATGTTAACAGATGCTACTATATATGTTATGGCAATATTATCATTACTAATGGTCTAGAATATAAACTTCCCAGAAACTTTATGCCTATTAATGGATTTCATTTCATTGATCTTCATGATCCGAATAACGACCTCTTCCGTTGATTCCAGCATAGAAGCAGCCTCATACTAATTCAACATAACTCCCGTTTTTCTTTCTTAAGATTGTTTTATTACGAAAAATTTTATCCAGGCTTATCAACATGGTTATTAATTTTCTGATTAGATATTCGTGCTCGCAGATTGTGAATAAAAATGTTGACACAGTTGACTAGCGTCTTAACTCTGACTCCAGCAAAACGGTTGATTAAGGATTCTGAAGAATCTTCTCAGCAGCCATAAAGATCTTGACGGACGGCCTCGAGCTTGGCTAACTCAGTTCACACAAGCATTTCAAAATCGTATGTAACTAACATTTATGGATGGTAATTTTTCTTGTGGGAGAATATGTATGCATAATACTTGAATAGTTTCAATTGAATATTTTGTAGTTGGATTTATTGCTTTCTTGGTGGAGATTCGAACTATGGCAGTTGGATTTATTGCATTAAATATTGTCTGTTAATGTTATTTAATATTTTAGGTGGGTAAGAAGAAGAGCCCATCACGGTCGGTTTCAGCTGAATGGTTTGGTTCCAATATACATTAAGATGTGATTGTACATGACTGGCTATGCATATGCCCATCCTCTCTTGAGTCTTTAAGTTTCACCATTTCTTCTCTTATATTGCATCATAAAAGCATCAACTTGGGGAAGCTTGCCACGCCTAACAAAACTTTGGCCAATTTCATCTCATTTTGTCTATGGTCTGAGAATGTTCAAAGGAGAAAATCACTATAATGGAAATTCATGAATGAACCGACTCTGTAAGAGACTGGACTTTTGAGTTCTAGAACAAAGTCGTGTGAAAGCCATGTAAATATACATATGGATAGTTTACATACACCAACAATTCAACGAAACAACTATTTGAACTTACAACATTTAGTTTCCAATACCAATAACATTTAAGAATATAGGTAGGGGAGAACCCGTCATACAATGTTACAAACGAAAGGTTTTGGACATTGTAACATCTAGTTATCAGTTCAAAGAAAAGAATAGAATGAACACTGCTTTAAAACCTACCACAGATGGATTGTGGCATTCGCACAAGCAAGAAGTTACACATAAAGGAGAGGAAAGAGTCTGTTGGTTATTCATTCCTATGCACAAATTGGGTCGAGCTATCATTTGCAGATGCGTAACAAATTTTGAACTACATCCTACAACAAAAAATAAATGGATCAGGAGCAGAACCTTGTTTTACCTTTTCGTTCACAAGATGTTGAACCCAAAGTCTACTCGAGGCTCCTCAACGGCATTTTCTGCTGCTCACCACAATACCATCAATAAAGCAATTTAATGCATATCAACGACATTCTCACGACTGGCACACCCGGGTACTAGAGCTTGCATCGCCTATAGAAACTGTGGCGAAGGACTTGGCCCATGCCCTGGCATTCATGGCCCCTCCTTGCAAATTTCTTCTCTTGCAAGGATCCTTGAAATGGCTGAATAACTGCACTGCGCCTTTCAGGCAGGTCAAAGGTCGTTCCCACAAGGTTCCCAACCTAAGGTTCCTGAGGTGCCTTCTCCAAATGTCTCGAGCATAGACCAACAGAGTTGGAAAGAAGATATGTATCAATCTCATAAGCACAAACGCAGTAGCGAGAGCCAAATACGTCTCTTCCCGAAATAAATTTTCTGGAGATCTTGCCCATGAAAATGGACAATTTTCCTGCTCACTGTTATCATGCTTCTCCTGATTCCATACTTGTCCAATTCTATCTGGCGATATTTGATTGAGTGATGCAGTCTGAATGCCTAAACACAAGAAAGCCATAACCAACGATATCAAATAACTGAACTAAATTTTACAGTCCAGATACAGTAGCAGTTAAGATAATTCATCACATTTTCAACTAAAGCTAACATTGCATACCAAAATTTGACCAATAAAATACTATTCTTCATATGGATGCAATTTCAATATTTTCAACCACTTGCACTACATGTGGGGATCGGTTACTACTTATTAAAGACTAAAGCTTTCTTCATTCGTCCAATGTGCCAATGCCCTAAGATGAAGGGTATTTAAAAACCACCACAATGCCTAGTACAAATGAAAGGCTCTGAAAATGCAACCTATTACATGGTTAACAAAAGCCAAAAAAGTGAAATTATATTAGATTGTCAAAACGGCAAGGAAATATGTCCAAGAACCAAGATTGAACATAATTCAATTGAATTACAGAAACTGAAAATGAATATTAGCAACGTGTTTTTAGAGCAGTGTAATTGTTTCTTACATAAGTCCAAAATGCAGACAAATTAGCACGAGACTATTACACAATAACATTTCTGATAAAATCAAAATAAGTAGTCATTTCATGGCAGCAGAATTTAGAAGCAGCAAACTGTAACATGCTCATAAAGAAGCCTTACCAGTAACATCATTATAGAATGCAACAAGTGAAGGGAGGGTTCGAGAACCATAATAACGAGCACGCATGGTGGAATTTAAAAGGAAAAGTGTAGGAAAACCATGGACCCCATATTTCGAGAGTATGCTGCAGTAAAACATGAATTATGTTACATAAGTAAAGAAACAAATACAATCATAGAATGCAAAAATGAGAAGGTGAAAGTTCAATATGAAAACCTTGGCCTGACAGCTGATTCTTGGATTGCAAAATGCGGAATAGAAGGATATAAAGAGGATAGTATGGAAAAGCTCGGCCTAAAAGACTTGGAGAAAGGGCACCAAGATGCGTAGAAAAGCACCGCAACATATTCATAATGGTTCTTATGTACCATATTGAGTGCCAGTTGTAATGAGGCCTCATCTCCCTTCATCATAGCAAAAACAAGTAGTTAGAGTTATCCTGACAATTACAACAACTCCTACCCATCCGGTATGCATCAAGAATAAACTCAAGACTTCAGCCGTTTTCCAAATTCAATCTGAAGACTATATTTACAAATTTTTGCACCAATAAAAGAACAGAAATGAACTCAAAACTTCAGAAGCAAAAATTCTTAGGATCCGAAGTTTCTGAGCTAAGTAAATTGTAGGCTCCGAGAACAAGTTAACAGCAACAAACTTGATTAACCGAGGCAGAAAGTCCGTCTAAATCTTCAGAAAAAAAAAAAACTCAATTCGACCAAAAATCTCAAAAAGAACTTTGACAAAAACGAAACAACACGTCAAATCCGCATCCTCCATAGTGAGGTGGAAGAACCCCCTAACAGACGATTATCTCATCTTCAAGTTCAAATGAGTTATAGGGACAGAGAAGGGAGGGGGGAAAAGGGTTACCTCAGAAACACCAATAAATTCATAGTGGCCATCCTCACCGTCAATGGGGCAGTTC